ATGCTTCAGTCAATCTGACTTTTTATTTTATTTTTTTAAATATTTATTTATTCATGAGAGACACACAGAGGCAGAGACACAGGCAGAGGGAGAAGCAGGCTCCCTGCGGGGAGCTCAACGCAGGGCTCAATCCCAGGACCCCAGGGTCATGCCCTGAGCCAAAAGCAGGCACTCAACCGCTGAGCCACCCAGGCGCCCCCTAACCTGACTTTTTAAGATACGTAATCTGGAGTAAAATAGGCTTTAAAAGGCACACCGGAGTTGACCTTCCAGAGGAGTGGTAAGGAGTCATTTGGAATGGGCAGTTAACATTCCAGAACAGGACTCCAGAGGTGAGGTGGGAGGCATTGGTGCCATCCTTGGGAAGTGTGAGCCAGTGGGCGTTCTCAAGGGAGTGAGTGAGACCCCAAGGGATCCTCACATTAACAGGGGAAGGCAGAACGAAAGCAAACTGAGACGTCCCCTTCAGGCTAGGCCGTAGCACAGGTGGTGGACAGTAGGCATGGTTTTAGAAGGGACAACACAGGACAAGGAGTAGAACGTAGGAAGGAGTCAACACATCTCCCTTCACCTCCTTTCTCCACCTTGCGAGCTACCGGCGTTACCAGTTCTGTGTGTTTGCCTAGAAATAGTGCATGCCTTCTCTGATGAACTTTGCTGCTTCTCACGGATCAGCGTATCTTTCAGATTTTCCGCACAAGTATATACAGAGCTGCCCTAATTTTGTAAATAAGTGTGGTATTGTATGGACGCGCCATGGTTAGTTCGGGCCGGCCGCAGCTGGTAGGTAGGTAGATGTTCAGGTCGCTTCTGATCTGTGTGCTATTACAAGTGGTGCCTCAGTTCATACTAATATTAAAAAGTGATTTCTCGTCTGTGTGAGTCTGTCTACTAAATAGAATCTTGAGAGCGGGATGGCCAGGCCAGAGGACACGTACGTTCTTATTTTGATGTGTATCCCACCACCCTGAGTTGTACCGGTTCACTCCTCGCCCTCCCCGCCACCAGCCGTGCATGAATAATTTACACCTATTTTCCCAAGACCCAGGGGGCATAGTGGGAACTCCAGCTTTGCCTTTGCCAGTGTGATAGGTGAGAAACTGTATCTTACAGGAAATGTGATTTGCTTCTGGAGGAAGGACTATGTTAGAAGCCAAGGAACACCAGGTCTCCAGCGTCAGCTGCCCTTGGGCCTCCGTCAGGCCAGCCCGTGCCTGTGAGTTAGAAAAAGGCGCTCGTCCTCGGGACCCTCGACTGGCATCTGCAGGAAAACTGTTGTGATCACTGCAAATCTGTGATGGCTCTGAGGCAGAGGACAGCCTGGAGTCAGGACAGCGCGGCCTGCTCTCCCACAGGCAGCAGCGGGAGCTCCTGGCGGTTTTGAGAGCGCGCTGGTCTCTGGGCGGTAACCAGATCGCCTGCAATTAGTGCTGTGGAAGCGGCAGCAGCGGGACAGGAATCCCGGCCGTCTGACAGTGGAGCGTGAGGGCATCAGCTTGAGGGGCGGCCAGAATAAATGGAAACTTCATTATCCGTGGATTATGCACTTAGAACTCAGGTCCCAGGCAACTCTGATATTAGTAATTTGGCCAGCGGGCTCATTAAGCTCTTAAGAAAAGTGAATCTAGTTAATGAATTAATACAAGATGACATTTTACATACAGAGCAAGAACGAGACCAGGCTCCACTGAATTATGGAACATCATAATTTCTCGTGTAAATGTGATTGCCGCTTCTCGCCTGCCAAAGTGGGCAGATCTGGAGAGAGCCTGCTTTCGGAGACGTAAATGAGACCGTTAAGATTTGCAATCATTTCATATCCCATTCATTTTAAAGCACTCCCTCTTGCACGCTTAGAACTTCGAGTGGTTGCACGGAAGTCAGTGTCTTAAAATCTCCGGACCTGTTTGTTTCCTGAAGGCGGTTCCGCCGGCTTTTCGTTTATTAGGAGACACCTCTCTCTAAAAAGAAATGCACTCAGTCCCTACTCCCTTCTCCATTCTGTGCCCTCACCAAGGGGACTCTCTCCCCGCCTCTGCCTCTGGTCCAGAGAAGTTGGGGAGGATAAGGGAAAAGAACACGAGCACTCAGAATTAGCATTAGCCAGTTTGAGATGATGGAAAGTTCTAGAGACGGGTGGCGGTGAACGTGAATGTACTTCATGCCACTGGACCCTTAAAAATGGGGAGAATGGGAAATGTTGTAAGTTATGTATATATTTTACCACAATGAAGAAGCAAGAAGAGAGACACCCGGGTGACTCAGCAGTTGAGCATCTGCCTTCTGCCTAGAGTGTGATCCTGGAGACCGGGGATCGAGTCCCACATCGGGCTCCCTTCATGGAGCCTCCTTCTCCCTCTGCCTGTGTCTCTGCCTCTCTGTCTGTGTCTCTCGGGAATAAATAAATAAAATCTTTATATAAAAATAAAAAGGGAGAAAACCTGGCCCTGAGGGCAAACCTTGGCCAGGCATAGTATTTTACCCTATAACCCAGGAATCCAGGACTTGGCTACTGTGATTCACCTGCCACCGCCACCCCCATTCTAAACTTAAAGGGCCTGAGGCTCCCAGGAGTGCAGCCACTTGCTTGGGCAGCAGCTAGAAATGATGGCCCCAGGACTCGACCCCTCGACTCTGTGCTGGAGACCACAAAATAAAGAGGATGTTTTATTTTAAGCCTGAGCTCTGAAGCAGAACACACACACACACGCATGCACTCCCATCCAGTTTTTAGTCCACTGCATTGAAAGCAGACACAACTCCAGCAGCACCCCCAGAGTGCCACAGCTCACTGTCTCCGGAAGAGTCCCAAACCTGCCTGCCTCCCCACCCCCCCACCCCCCCGCTGCCAAAGGTCTAGGACCTTTCTGTCATCATCGGAAGCAGTGACCTACAGGAGCATCGAAGCTTCTCGCCCCTGTTTGAGTGTGGCCGGAAAGGGAATGAACATGAGGCCTGGAGCTTGAGGGGGAAGGCTCTTCGTTTGTCTGCGATTGAGGTTGTTTTGAGAGTCGAGAGATGTTTCGATCAGGAAAGGAAAGATCGCCAGTTTCCCAGCGCGTGGTTTTTCTGATGGACAAATATCTGGGTTTGAGGCCTCGCTCCTCTACTTGCATCTTTTTTTTTTTAAAGGTATTATTCATTTATGATAGTCACAGAGAGAGAGAGAGAGAGAGGCAGAGACACAGGCAGAGGGAGAAGCAGGCTCCATGCACCGGGAGCCCGACGTGGGATTCGATCTCGGGTCTCCAGGATCGCGCCCTGGGCCAAAGGCAGGCGCTAAACCGCTGCACCACCCAGGGATCCCCCTCTACTTGCATCTTATGTGAACTTAGGCAAGTTAATTCACCTCTGAGTCCATTTGCTGTCTGGGAAATAGGACTGATAAAATAATAATAGGACCTGCCTTACTGAGGTGCGCGAACACACAGGTATTTTTCGCACTGAGTTGAAGGCATGTGTTGAGTGCGCTCTGTGTCAGGCCCCATCCTGCGTCCTGGGGATACCGTGATGAACGGGACAGGTGCACGTCTATAAACGAGGGATCAGTGAAGCTTCGCCCACCTCCAGGACACGGGGCCCGAGCAGACGGCGGTTGCTACGGCTGCTGCTACTTCACATCTGCATTTTTCCTGTATATCCACTGAAACCTCACAGCTTCAGAGGGAGGGGGAACAGGCCCAGGAAGTGGCCACCAGATTTGCTCACTTGGGCTGTGTTTATTCTTCCAACTGGGCCACGACAGCGGGTGGTTGTGGTTCTTCTGCAGAGATGGGAGGTCCCTGGCTCTCTGAGGAGGGACCGAGCTGGTTTCCTGGGCCAGCCTGGGCCGTGTCTTGGTTGCCAGGTATGTCCCACTGACTGGGAAGCCCTTCACCTGAGTATTGGGATCATGGCTTATTAGTACACTTGGAGAGGAGGGTGTTGGCAACCTAAGGGGGTAGGATGGGTCCCAGACTTTTGCCTGAAGGTCTTAGGGGGATGCTTGCAGGTTAGCTAGCGGGTCTGGTTAGAGGGCTGCAGGACACACAGTGTGAGGGACAAGCCTCTGATGTCAGACCACTGGGCTCAAATCACGCATGGCTCTTTACCTCCTAACCCTGTGACCCTCATCAGGGGGCCTAGACTCTCTGAGATTCACCTCCCTCATTTTAAAAAGAAGGCAGTGACAGCACCTAATTCCTGGAGTTGCTGTGAGGCAAGCAGAGGGGATAAAGTACATGTTTGCCTGTTTTGAGCACATACCACATGGCACCGTGTGTCCGCTCTTGTCCTGAGTGCCCCATCACTATTCACTGATTTCATGCTCACGACAGCCCAGTCAGGTGGGCACTGTTACTATCTCTGTTTTATTGATGAGGAAGTCACAGCATGGAGATGTTGCCACTTTACAAGGGGCACATAGTAAGTTCCAGAAGGCACAGAAGCTGGGATTGGAACGTAGTCTGGCTCCAGGGGCCATGATGGTAGCTTATGCTGTGTGTTTCTCAATCTGGAAAGCCTGGCATAAGGCCTTGGTGTAAAAATAAACACTCTGCAGACATGAGGAACCCAGACACACCGTCTGGCATTCCTCAGATGTTATATTACAAACTTCTGGTGAGTTTCTAGCAAATTTCCAGCCCTCCACAACCATTAATCCATTTTCTGTCTTTATAAATTTGCCTTTCCTGAACATTTCATATAAATGGAATCCTACAGTACTTGGCCTTTTGTGTTTGGCTTATTTGCCATGGCGTAATGTTTTTTGAGGTTCATCCATGTTATGACACATATCAGTACTTTTGATGGCCAAATAATATTCCAAGGTGTGGCTTTCCCACATTTTACTTATCCCTTCACCAGTCCCTGGACATTGGTGTGGTTCCCACTTTCTGGCTGCTGCTGTTGCGAATTACGTCGCTACGAACATTTGCATGCACTCTCTGGGACGGACTTGAGCGGAAGAGTAAACCAAAATGCTAACCTCTCTCCTTCTGTCTCCCCTCTGGGTTTCTCAGAACCAGGCAGCGGGCAGGTGTTTGTGACGTCAGAGAACCAGCTCGTGTACTACCCCAGCATCACCTACGCCATCATCGGCAGCTCTGTCATCTTCGTGCTGGTGGTGGCCCTGCTGGCGCTGGTCTTGCACCACCAGCGGAAGAGGAACAACCTCATGACGCTGCCTGTGCACCGGCTGCAGCATCCCGTGCTGCTCTCCCGCCTGGTGGTCCTGGACCACCCCCACCACTGCAACGTCACCTACAACGTCAACAACGGCATCCAATACGTGGCCAGCCAGGCCGAGCAGAATGCATCGGAAGTGGGCTCCCCGCCGTCCTACTCAGAGGCCCTACTGGACCAAAGGTGCGTATGCCGGGTAGCAGAGGTGGGGGGAGGGAGGTTATTGATGGGGAAAGCGGAGTATGTGCCTGCACCTGAGATCCCAGGGCTTGCCGGGAGCCTGCCAATGGTTGATCCCGAACAGTGGGGGCCCCCTAGGCCCCAGGGCCCCTCGCTGGAGCGGGGCAGCCTCCGCCCAGGCCCCCCAGAGCCCCCCACGGGTCACTGCCGTCAGGCACACGGCAGCACCACACACCGACTGTTTTCCGGTCCCTCGGTCCTGCTGCAGGGGTCCCCTGAGACCTCGGATGGCCGTCCTGCGGGGTGGGCAGCAGCAAGCCACAGAAAGGGCCTGGGCTCCTGACCCCCGGCCCCCCGCCACCCCCGCCTCTCCCTTTGCAGACCCGCCTGGTACGACCTCCCTCCGCCGCCCTACTCCTCGGACACCGAGTCCCTGAACCAAGGCGACCTGCCCCCCTACCGCTCACGCTCCGGCAGCACCGACAGCGCCGGCTCCCAGGCGGCCAGCAGCCTGCTGAGTGCCGACGACAGCGGCCCCCCCGACGGCACCGCGGGCCCCCGGGACCCCGAGCCTGGCCAGGCCGCTGCGCGCGTATGAACCCGGCGCTTCCAGAGTCCACGTGGGCTCATCTGCTCCGACTGTTACCATCCTGACAACACCCGCTCGTGGGAAGCCCCTCGGGGCGCCTCCAGGAGGGATGTAGGGTGTCAGCGTCCCTCCTTTCCCCTGCCCGCCCCCTCCCCGCCCCAGATTTCAGGGATAGTCTTTGGAGGGAGGCCTGGCGTTTCTCCGACCTCGGGGTGACCTGATACACGGTGCAGCTCTGCTGGGCGGCCACTCGTCCGTCGGGGCCCAGGATCACGACCTCACTCGTCACCTCGCCCCTCTGCTACTGGTGGCGTCCCGCCGAACAGGCAGCCCTAGATTGCAGGTGGGGGACAACGCGGTGCTTCCACATCGTGTCGCATGTTCCGAAGGGCAGGAGACGCTGGACCGCACTCCCGGGGGGGCGCTACCTCACAGCTCCGTTGGGGTTTGGGCCGATGATCGCCCAGGAGGCCCTCAGGCTGGCCGCCCTGGCACGAATGCAGGTGAGCGCCACACTCTGCCCGCGCTGTCCTGCAGGCTGCCCTCGTGCACTGGAGGCGTTGGCCTGAGGACACATCGGCCCTGGCGTACACCCTTCAGCCATCGGCAGTGCCGGTGTGGTTCTCTGACCGACTCTGAAACCCCCGACTCTGGCCAGATTCGGGCTTTAAAAGCTTGCCCAGGAATCCTCACTGTGCATTTTCTCGGCAGCGTCTGGCATCAGCCTCATCCCAAAGTAGGCAGGGAGCCCCTGCCATAGATTCATACGCGTACTCAGCTCCTAAAATGCCTGGGTCTGCTTCGGTCCCCAGTCCTTCCCTGGCTTCTGGATTGTCACCGCAGCCCTTTCCCCGAGCTGTGACCTGCCCAGAGCCAAGGGGTGAGGGCCCAACTTGAATTGGCCAAAAATTGGGTCTGGTCCACACCCGGCCTGTCTTGCCCACTCCTGCAGCCTTCCACACTCGCTTCCTACGTGACCGTAACACCCAGAAGTCGTTTTACCTGTGCATTTGGACCTGAGGCCACTGTGGTTTCTGACACACCCGAGAACCATATTCAGTACCTCCCACCAGAGCTCCTGGCTCCCTGTGCTGCACACACTCCCCTTCCCAGGGCCCAGAAACCAGCACCCTGATTTAGAGTTAGGGTTAGGGTCAGGGTCAGGCTTCTTCTGACTTGCCATAGTTCCTCCTCTAAAAGACGTGGACAGTAGACAATTTGGAGTCAAGATTTGCCATTCGGACTTTTTTTTTAATCTCTTAGAAATGCATTTGAAACAGTGTGTTTGTTTTTTCCCTTCTAGTTAAGGGATTATTTATATGTATAGGAAAGCTGTCTGTCTGTTTGTTTTTCCCTTAGTGAGGTCCAAAGAGAGATCACACCTTTGTCCCGCTAAGCCTTGATACGAAGTCACACTCCCGGCTGACCCGTGTACCAGGTGTGTGTGCATTGTTGCACTTTGAGTTATTATTTATCGAGTTCTTGAAGGATGCAGAAAGAGGGATGCCTTTCTCCCTCGGTTCAGTCTCTGTGTTTATGCTAGCTTTCCTCTTCCTCTGTGGCCAGCCCGCCATGGGGCCAACTCCCTGGAGAAATAGTGGGTAGAAGCATGGGCGTTAGTTGGCAAGAAACCACGCTTGACCCAGGGGGGTGCAAAACTGGAACCAGGTGGGACCAGTCCAGGCAGCTCTCACCCCTTCAGGACTTCTTTCCACAGTAGAAGAAATTTTCAGCCACCTCCGTGATGCACATTTTAATGAAGCCTGCAGGAGTGGGGGACGGCGTGGCATTTAGTGATCCTATTCTCTGGACTTTTTTTTTTTTTTAATCCAATCCAAACTGTGTTAGAGGAAAGCTAGCCACTTGGTGATTTCTTTCTTTCTTTTTTAAGTTAAAAAAAAAGGAGCCTAGTTGCGTCTTTCATTTTTTTAAATAACACGAGTTATTTTCCGAGTAATCCAATAAAGAAAGAACTTTTGATGGCAGCCAGAGTGTGTTAGGAACCCTGGCTGAGCATTTCATCTCCTGTGAGTCAGAATGGCTTTATTTTTTCTCCCTTTGATGGGCCTGTGCTTCTTTCTGGTATTTTGGAAGTTGTTTAGAGGAAGGGATTCTAATTTTAATTAATTGTGCAGTGAATTAATCTCACTTGCTTTTCTGCTTCCAGATATCTTAGGAAAAACAAATGGTCTTAGTAGATAAGAAAGCCTATTAATGTTTTTTTTTAATAAACACAGGGACATTTTTATTATAGATGTGATTTTTTTTAATGAATCTTCTTAAAAAATATATAAATAGGACACCAAAGCTGCAGGGATTTTTTTCCTGTTTTTTTTTTTTTTAATCTCCCTACTCTAGATGGCAAATAAGTGGCCAGCAATATTTTTTTAACTCATTCCATCCAGGATATTTTTTTAGACATTGCCTAAATCTACACCAAGCAGAAAACTATCGCTGCTCTTTTTTCTCAAATGAGACCAGCAAGTTCTTTTTATTTTAGAGTTAAAATTCACATCACGGTAACCTATGGCTTATCCCTTGACTCAACTCACTACTCTGAAATTGACTTGTTTAAAAAAATGCTACAAAGTGGTTGACAAATAGTGTGCGATGTTCAAAGTTGATGTAAACTGGAAAGTTTGTGTGGTTGCTTTTTGTGTTTTGGTTAGGTTTTGGTTTGGGTTTTTGTTTTTTTTTAATTTTTATACTTTCAAATAAACTTGCAGTTTCATTCTTTCTATTGGTGTGAATGTTTCTTAACCCATGTCTGGCCTCTGTGGCATTACGAAGAACGAACGGTCACATCTCATGGCTTCTGGAGTTAATTTGTGCTATCCTAAAATGAGAAAAAGGAAGAGTATAGTGACGGGACCTCAAAATATGATGATAGCTTGTGTGGCTGAAATACAGAAGTGAAGTCACGGACACCAGTTAGCATCATGGGCCCCCGGGATGTCAGTTCAGAAGATGGACATTAGTTTCTGTCACTAGGGTGCCATTTGAGGGAAAAGGACGAGTGACTGTGACAGCTGAAACAGGTTCTGACCACATATTCAGGGGCACTCAATAGCCCTTGCACAGGTAGGCTGGTCATTAGTTTTGAATCCCACTGGCTCAGACTGGCCCCACCAGTGATGGTAACTTCTTTTATGCTTCTCTTAGTCTCATTTTGGAACCATGTGCTAATTGATGCTACATGAATAGTTTCCACAGAAAGTCAAGATGCCCAAGAGATCACCCATGAGCAGGAGAAATAACCCTGGCCTTGGCCAAGATTGAACTCCACATGGATTTCTAAACATAGAATGCACAGAACCAAGGTTTAGGTCATGTATTCGTCCCCAGATGTCTCAAAAAGAAGACTGGGCTATCAGAGAGTGGTATCCCAAGTATATGCCAGGCCATGTCCTGCCCCAAGTGGTCTAGGGTAGACCTTCCCAAGCAGTTGGTCAAGGTTTGTCAAGATATCAACTCCTCATCTCTGAGAGAACCATTCTTTACTGGGTGGCAGGATGGAATGATTGAAAAGCACTAATCTAGAGCAAAAATAAGTAAACATTTTGTGTAAAGGGCCAGATCCTAAATATTTTTGGCTCTACAGCCATATGGTCTCTGTAGCAATGACAAAAGCAGCCATAGATGATAAATAAGTGGGTGTTGGTGTGTTCCAATAAAACTCTTTATGAAAATAGGTAGCTGGCTGAATTTTAGCCCATGGGTTAGAGTTCCCCAACCCTTGATATAAAAGAGCATTCCATGGGCAACCGGGTGGGTCAGCGGTTTAGTGCAGCCTTCAGCCAAGGGCATGATCCTGGAGACCCAGGATCAAGTCCCACATCGGGCTCCCTGCATGGAGCCTGCTTCACCCTCTGCCTGTGTCTCTGCCTCTCTCTCTCTCTCTCTCTCTCTCTCTCTCTCTCTCTCTCTCTCCCTCTCCCTCCCTCTCCCTCTCTCTACTCTCTCTGTTTCTCATGAATAAATAAATAAAATCTTTAAAAAAAAAAAAGCATTCCTACGTTGGATTCATGAATCCAATCCTCAGAGGCATCCTAGAAAAGAAAAGTATGTTAATGGCCTGGAATATTAGAAACCCTGAAAATGGCGCTAATCTCCAAAAAAATTAAAAATAGAAGAAGCTATGAGACAAGCAATTCAAGGACCTGTAAAATTAATTTTAACTGACCCTATAAGCTCTTTTCCAGTGAATAAGAAAATAAAATCAAGATGAATAGAGGCTTTCCCAATGAGGTCCTCAACATTTGGTTTGAATGCAGAGGTCCAAGTCAAAAAATTACTACGGATTCTCTAACATGATAAACTGACACAACAGTCTGTCTTTCAGAGAAAAGTCCATGGGAATGAGTGCTCTGAGAAGTATTGTCCATATTCTCCACTTAGCTTGCCACCCGGAGGCAAGGCAGTAGATTCAAAGGGAAAACTATTAAAAAAAGGAGCTTCAGATGCCTACAGTGGAGGTGTGATAAGTGCCCCCAGTGAGATCCTCAGGAAAGGTATCAGTGAGAAGATGTGCTGAGTCCCTTGACATCCTATGGTTAGGTAAGATCATAGGATCACCCCCCCCCCCATAACTCCCAAGTGATAGAAATCCAATTCACAACATGCTTAATTTTATTAAGTTTTAGAAGATATACTGGCTAATGCAACTAAGTCCAAGGGTATGGAACTGTTGGTTTCAGGTTGAGCTGGATCTAGTTGCTCAACAGCTGTCATTAGGAATCTCTTTCTCAGCCTGAGAGCCCTGCTTTGCCCAGCATGGATGTCAGGGCTTTACATTAGGTGGAAAAGAGGATCCCAGAAGATCCAAGTTTGCAATCTTAGAAAAAGAGGTACTATCTCTCCTGGAGTCTATAGTAACCCCCTTAAATGGAGTTATGACTGGTCATCCTTGGTCATATGACCACTACCATGAGTGGGGATCAGTCTCTTGATTTCCAGAATTCCATGAAATGGGAAAGGGATGATTCCCATAGTGGAGAGGCTGGCAGTAGACAAAATACCAACGTGTCTACTATAGAACCTCACCAAGAAATGGGGCCCACAACTGACTGGCACACTTTCTGGTTCACATAAGAAAACACATATAACTACAAGCTTCAGGCAACACGGGTTTGAAAGGAGCAGAAGCAGTGTTACGGTGACGATTTCAGGAGACAACCGCCTTTCTCGAAACATGGGCAAAGTGAGTGTCAAGCTACAGGTATATTGGGCTTGGGTTGGGTATGCTTTTATGAGATCCTCATCTGGGGGAGGCCACACGGATAAAGCCATATAAGAGGCATCCTACCTAAAGAAGCCTGAACTGTCTCATGGGCTGCAGGACTTCCAGACCACTGGAAGTATAGAAATGGTGTGCTCATCCGACCAAGATTCATCTCCAGCTTGCACAGGATTTTTAAGCTGATGGATCAGAGATATGTTCCCATTTTTCACCCTTGTTACACTATGCAAAGATTTAGGCTCAATTATGCATGCTGTTAATAAGCTTTCCAAATTAACCCTTTTATCTGCCGCCCCCCCCCCAACTGAGAGCTAGGATGCACTAATATCTGAGAACCACAACTTGGAAATTCGGGGACAGCTGGTGTCACAGGAGCTGAGGGGCTGAATTCTCATCACAGTAGGTGCTTGAAAGCATGACCATGGGGGACTGACATACAGAATCGGGGCAAGCTTGTTTATTGTAATACGGCTGATGCTTCAGTTGGGCTGGGGCTGGGGCTGCGGGCTGAGCAAGGGTGATTCATGCTAAGTTCCGGTACAAAGCCCAAGCCATTGCTGGGCTTTCCATTTGATCCTGATAAATCATCCCAATGAGCCAGCAGAGGAAAAGGCACATGGAGAAATCTTACGGACTTTGCTCTAAAATGGAGCGCACACAGACAACACTTAAGGGCCAGGCCTGGAAGTAGCCACACCCCTCACTCACGTCCCGTCCCGTTGCCCAGGGTCTGGTCAGTCCCACAGCCACACCTCCTGCAGGGAGGCTGGGAAGGTAGATAGGCTATATGTCCTAGAAGAACCGGAAGAGGATTTTGACACTAGCCACCTAATGTATGTTCTTACACTTCTTTCCTCCCATAAAATACACTCGTCCCTTCCCCCAAAGAAGAAACCCAGCCAGATTCCAAATCGAATCAGATTCAATGTCCAGGATCAGTGAAAATTTCTGTCCAATCCAAATGTGACTCCCCTGATAGGACAACTACTCAACCCCACATATTTTTTTATCATTTGTCTCCTTAGATTGCCTTCCTTCAACCAAATTCTCAAAATAATTGAATAACTTTCAAGTCACTCGGAATAAAAGTCAAATTGTGGTTTGCTGGACATTTACACCCACAGCTGCCATTACCTATCCAACTTCATTTTCTACTCTTATCCGCCCCCCGCTCACTGTTCCAGCTGCATTGGCCCCTATGTTGGCTCTGGAACCCACCAGACACACTCCCACAGGCCCTTTGCTCCTGCTATTCCTGGAACACCCATCTCCAGACGCGTGCAACACTCCCTCCCATCATGACCCGTGTCCTCTTAGGATCTTAACATTGCCATCTTGGGGGCCTCAGCTTGGAGACTCTTGGAAGAGAAAAATAATCAGAGCTTGCTCTTGACCAAGATCTACTTACACATAAATGATTTTGAGGGATTCCTAGACCATGGGAACTTGGAGCTTTGGGGAGTGTGTTCGAAAAGTGTGGTCTGGAAATTTAATTTGGGCCAATACTATAGCTCTCCAACGGTCAAGAGGCGAGCCAACTTAAGAAGTAGAAATAACGCACGGGACCGTGCAGCACAGGACTTGGGAGGGAGGTGACACTTGAACACACACCCACGGGCGGCCTGCTCTTCCAGCGACCCCTGACGTGTGACTCCTTTGCAGAGGAACTTGAACCAGACCTTCATCTTAGAGTAAGTCCTGGGGTGTCAGTCTGTGAACCAGCCGAAGGGCACACCGACGTGCCTGGAGACTTCCTAGAATCGCCAATTCCTGTTCGGAAATGGTGGCATCCTTGGTTCAGAGATGAGGCACCCACATCTAGCTCAAACAGGCCAAAGAGTCGTAGAGTTATTCTAGAAAGAAAAGAAGGAGATGGCTTCCTTCTAAGTGAAAAGCAAACTGTTTAGATAACTCATCCCCCCCCCCCCCAGTTGGAACTAGTTGCTGGGCAATGACTGAATGGGAGTGTCTTCACCCCACCTGCCGACTTGGCTTGAATCTAATAAGTGGCTCATTGGAGGAGATGCCGTGCGTGTGTTCCCGGTGTGTACCAGCCGGGCCCCGTCGGAGCCGCTGCAGGCATCACAGGAAGAAGGGATTGGAGGTGGGGATGAGGGCCTGCACACGCGTGGGCAGAGCCGACGGGGTTGGCCTGATGGACCCCAGACCCACTTGCCAGCGACGCGAGCCTCATCCGGGGACAGGCGGGGAATCCCAGAGCCTACACGGCAGGTGGAGAAGCTACAGTAACTGCAACACGGTCCTGCGACGAGGGAGCCCACAGAAGGACTGAAGAGCCATGTCTGCCCCCCCCCGACCCCCAAGAGTGACCTCACCACTGCGCTTCTGCCTCCCACACCTCACGGGAGCTCCGTTCATGGCACATTCGCCCCAGAGCCCCTCGGGGAAGGGGAAGGGGATTCGGGGAAGCACGGTTCCCAACCTCAGGCGAGGACGGGGTCAACGGGCACTCGGCCCACTGGGGTGACCAGGATGTCT